ACACTAATACGTTTTCGTTTGTAAACGTATATTTTTCACTCCGTTTTGGCCTTCCGTCCACACTGAGACGTCGTTTTAAGTCAACAAAAACGTATCGTTTGGAAAACGCACTCCAAAGTGGATAAATTTGAAAACGCCGTTTTCGCGTTGTAGTGTGGACAGTGAAACCGGAGGTATTTCAAAACAATGACGTAAGTTTAGCCATGTAGTACCAATAGATATTCATGTTTATCGGTATTGTGCCTGTTATGTGTTATTCATTTTTACACTATTGCTAAAATATGTTACTTTCTATGTTACTTAATATGTGCTGTTCTTCATAGCACTACAAAGATGCAGATAATACTTACATTTGCTGTCCTGCGGCAAAACAGGAGAGCAGTTGCGTTTTAGACCAAACATAGGGTGACTGAATGCGACCTGGACGCATCAGTGATGGTGAGATATTTTGCTAAATAAAATTATCCTGTTATTGTGCACTAACATTATTATCTCAGTGAGCTTTTGTGAAGTTTCACGCATGCGCAGTAAAGTGAATTTAGAAGTTTCTCATCCACACTGAAACGTCGGAAAACGGCTGAAAATGCTAGTGTGGACGGAGAGCGTTTTTAAACGAAAACCCTGTTTTCAAATGTGTCAAATGTGGAGATTAATGTGGAGTCAAATATGTGAAATTTTGAGCAATTGGTGGTGCTAGAGAGTTATAGGTGTCGCTATAGACCCCATTGCAGAAAACAAAGTAATAATCTAACAAATATAATAGGTGCCTGTACACAGCAAAATCCCCAGTGTTAAATTAACACTGAAAGTGTGAATTATATAAACTGAGCAGAGTGTTAAATGAACACTGTAGCAGTTTCATTTATTCATCTAGCTGTTATAACTCATGTACAGCAGCCAAACAAAAAAAAAAGTTAATGATTTAAGGGTCAAGAGGCCAACTAAAATGAACACTGATCACCATAATGGTAACTTGAAATTATGGTTTTCTCCTTCATTGATTCTGCTTGTTAGGTGTCTTCCATGATGCTCAATTATTCACTTAATTATCTCATTAACTTAACACTGCGCTCAGAGTTTATATAATTCACACTCTCAGTGTTAATTTAACAATGGGGATTTTGCTGTGTATCTTTTAGTGCTTGGTCCCCAAAACCGTTGGAATTACTTGATTAACAATTCTTATATCTTACTACGAATAATCCGACTTCACATTTACTGGCATTGGAGAAACCCACAAGCCTTGTCATTTCAGAGATACTCTGACCCAGTCGGCTTGCCATAACAATTTGGCCCTTGTCAAAGACGTTCAAGTCTTTACTCCTGCCCATTTCTCCTGCATCCAACTTGTTTTCTACAAGAAATGATCGTTCAATCTCCCCAGACCATGACACGTGACACGGAGACAATCAACAACATTTGCTTCACCTGTGAGTGGTCATGAAGTTGTGGCTCGTCAGTGTCTCCATATCACTTAAATCATTCATTTACTTGCTGTTCTGTAGAAAACAGGCATTTCCTTCATCACTTCTCCTGTGTTTTTCTTTCTATTTTCAGCTACGTGCTGTGCTTTATTTAGCATTTGTCACCATACTGCTCTGCCACGCATCACATGAGTAGAGTACAGTGCCAGCTTTAATGAGTTCTTCATTTGCTGGCACAACAGCTGAGGGAATCGCAGGGACATCCGTGTGGGCTCCGCGTGTGTGTTATATAATAGCGTAGTGATGTAATGCGGTTCCCTGCACATCAGCTTTGAGGAGTATATGGTGCTGAGTGCTGCATTGCCCTTGCTCTCCACCTGACTCCTGCAGAATTCTTCACTTTCACTCCGTGTGCACCGCTACCATGGAGACCACAGAGAGAGAGAGAGAGAGAGAGAGAGAGAGGCTTTACGTTCTCTCTATCAAAAGGTTGAGGATTATATCATTTAATCCTCTCCATCTGAAATTAAGGTTATTATAGGTTTGCATAGTTTTTATTTGAATATTTTCAAATTCCCTATATATTTCAGTTTGGGTTTAGTTAGTTTCATTAATGTATTCAAAATACCGCAGTGGTCAAATATGTCCATCTATCTAATTCAATGAACAATATAAGCAACATTGTGTATGTGATAAACATAATTTAGCTTTTGTGACTTTTTCTCTCTTTTTTTGTGCTGCTGCTGTACCTTTAAGACTCTAATGTAAAAGCCCACTTTGTATGTGAAATGAAATAATGCACTTTGCTGCAGAACCAAGCTGCTGGTTTGCTGTTGGTGCCAATATAGATTTAACAGTACCATATTTCAGCAAGAGGCCTTGCATTACATGAGATTGATAAATCAATCTGCTGAAATTACCAGACTTCAACTACTAGTTTTGAATGTTGGGACTCTTCAGACGGATCTGCTAAACATAGACATTGTTAAAATTGTATTGCATTCAAATGAAGTCATAATTGGACATCACAATGTTGTGGAAGTACAGAACAAGTAAATTCTGTTAAATTGGATCAATACAGTAAAAACCTTCTAAACTATTTTAAAATGTCATTTATTCCTGTGATGGAAAAGTTGAATTTTCAGTATCATTACTGTATAAAGTATAAAGTCTTCAGTGTCACATGATCCCTCAGAAATAATTCTCATGCTGCAAGAAACATTTTTCTTACTATTATCAATATTGAAAACAAGTGTGCTGCGTGACATTTTTGTATAGAAGCCATGATACTTTTTTCAGAGTAAAAGTCTTTACTAATGTCTTTACTGTGCTTTCAATGAATCCTTGCTGAATAAAAAAGATTTTTTTAATGAATCACTCACCTTAAGGATTATTAGAACACCTGTTCAATTTCTCATTAATGCAATTATCTAATCAACCAATCACATGGCAGTTGCTTCGATGCATTAAGGGGTGTGGTTCTGGCCAAGACAATCTCCTGAACTCCAAACTGAATGTCAGAATGGGAAAGTAAGGTGATTTAAGCAATTTTGAGTTGAGTGTGACATGGTTGTTGGTACCAGAAGTAACAATCTGCTCAGTTACAGGGATTTTCACACACAACCATTTCAACATAACATCATGACTTTTGCGTATACATACCTACACATTATCGCTACGCATTTTGAGCTATCCGCTAGTATCTGCGTGTATGTCTACGCCATTAACGTCCGAGTGATTCCGTGTGTCTGTACACGCCATCAAATGTCGTCGCGAAATTAAGCAAAATGTAGATCTACATCTGGGGAGCGATCTTTTTTTTTTTGTCCCTAGGATGGTAAGGGAACAGTTATAAATGCTATTAACCCCAGTGACGGTTAGGTTTAGGGACGGGGTTGAGGTAAGTCATATATTTATATATACAGTAATAACGTTAAGTCAACGGCGTTCATAAACACACTGAAAAGCGATTATGCGTCTTGATAGCACGCCAAAAATGGAAATACGAATTGGCGTGTCATACACACGCTACTTCATGAGATCAGTCTGAACATTTCTAGGGTTTACAAAGAATGGTGTGAAAAGGGAAAAACATCCAGTGTGCGGCAGTCCTGTGGGCGAAAATGTCTTGTTGATGCTAGAGGTCAGAGGACAATGGGCCGACTGATTCAAGCTGATAGAAGAGCAACTTTGACTGAAATAACCACTCATTACAACCGAGGTATGCAGCAAAGCATTTGTAAAGCCACAACACACACACAACCTTGAGGCGGATGGGCTAAAACAGCAGAAGACCCCACCGGATACCACTAATCTCCACTACAAATAAGAAAAAGAGGCTACAATTTGCAAGAGCTCACCAAAATTAGACAGTTGAAGACTGGAAAAATGTTGCCTGGTCTGATGAGTCTCGATTTCTGTTGAGACATTCAGATGGCAGAGTCAGAATTTGGCATAAACAGAATGAGAACATGGATCCATCATGCCTTGTTACCGCTGTGCAGGCTGGTGGTGGTGGTGTAATGGTGGATGTTTTCTTGGCACACTTTAGGCTCCTTAGTGCCAATTGGGTATCGTTTAAATGCCACGACCTATCTGAGCATTGTTTCTGACCATGTCCATCCCTTTATGGCCACCATGTACCCATCCTCTGATGGCTATTTCCAGCAGGATAATGCACCATGGAAGCTTGAATCATTTAAAATTGATTTCTTGAATATGACAATGAGAGGATGTGGTGGAACGGGAGCTTGATCTCCATCAACTGCAAGATGCTATCCTATCAATATGGGCCAACATTTCTAAAGAATGCTTTCAGCACCTTGTTGAATCAATGCCACGTAGAATTAAGGCGAAAGCGCTCAAACACAGTATTAGTATGGTGTTCCTAATAATCCTTTAGGTGAGTGTATATTAACACAGGAAACGTGATTCTTCATAATATAATAAATAAATACCTAGATAGGCATCATAATTATTTAATTAAATTGGGGAGTTTATCATCATAGCCGCAGGGATTCCCAAACGCCATTGCATAATCCTTCCACGCTGTTTGCATAAGGTCAGGTCTGGATCTTCAAAACTGTCATGAACCTTCATATCAAGGCAAGCACTCTTTATGGCATGCGACAAAGTTCAGCCCCTACAACAATAGAAACACACACCTGAAACCAAACATATATGCACAAAAGGGTAAAACAAATGGACTGGGCTTCATTTACTAAAGTTATTTGACTATAGATTTTGCACACTTTGTATGATAAAAGTGTGTTTTATTCACTCTAAAAACACTGGGTTGTTTTAACCCATCTTTGGGTCAAATATGGACAAACTCAGCCATTGGGTTAAATGTTTAAATTACATTTTCAACCCAACGTGTGTCCATATTTGACCCAAATTTGGGTCAAAACAACCCAGGATTGAATGTAATATGTAATGGATTGATTTAATAGCACTGCAATTTTGTGAAATTAGCTTTAGTGTGTTTTAAATGAGGGTGGGATCATCTGCATAAAATGAAATGCCAATTGCATAACCTGCCATGATGCTCCTATGTCTTTCTCTGGCACTGTAAAGGGAAATCGCATTTGGCTATCGTGCAGAGGGTCAATAACGAAGGAGAAGGAGATCCTTTCTACGAAGTCATGGGGATCGTCACTCTGGAGGACGTCATCGAGGAAATCATCAAATCTGAGATTGTGGACGAAACGGACCTATATAGTAGGTGTTTTTGATATTTCTGTTCTTTAAATTTTCTCCAGAGCACTCATGCAAATCCTTGGCCTCATCTGTCCATCATTATTAAAACTCCAGATGAAGATTCACACATCTAAAAGATACAAAAAAAAACTGATTAAAAGAAGAATATATTCCTCTAAACCGTGAAAACCTGTTAATCTCTGCTTCCTCATGCATAGTCAATAATAATGTGACCTTGTTACAAATAATTACCACACTTGGTACTGCACACAAATAATTGGATTCCATAACTCTGTTATTTTTCTTCTGGCAAATCCTGTTCCCTGAGATCGACGGATTGATTTTAACTATATTAACAGTGCTAAAAATAGGGGAGATTGGGGTTATCGTGTTGGGGAAAGTTACTTTTAAAAGGAATGCGTTGCACTATTGTGTTACTCCCTATATATATATATATATATATATATATATATATATATATATATATATTTTTTTTTTTCAATTTAAAAGTAATGCGTTACTTGTTACTTGAAAAAAAGTAATCTGATTACGTAACTCACATTACTTGTAATGCATTACCCTCAGCACTGGTTGTTGGATGTTTTACTTTTAATATTTTTAAGCTATAGCTTTTACCTAATTTTCCAAGTAATTTTCCAAGTCTTGATTGCTCTATTATGTATATAAGCTCCTTGTACCATCACAGAGAGGCACAAAATCATTTTCATTCACAGTTCCTTGCTGGTGGTATGATCACCACCTTCATCCAGAATGCAGAATCCCTGACAACATTTAAAAGACATCTCATCTATGAAAACTCATCTCATCTGTGAGCACTTGACCTCATAAAAAAATCCCACCCTTTCTTTTTCCTTGAATCCTATCTTATGCTACTCAAAACAGTGTCTAAACCTTGTATTTTGAGCACTTATTGCATTGTTTGGCTCTTCATAATGACTCATTTTCTGTATTCCTCATTTATAAGCCGTCTGCTAAATGACTAAATGACTTTTGAACATTTTTACAGTTAACGCCCAGGAAATAAGTTACAGTTATTAAAACCATCTTGACCTTTTGTGACAAAGTATCCCAATAGCCAAAAAGTGAGTTAATTTGTGACAATGGGAACCTGACATTACTAAATCACCAGACCTGTCACCTTCAGCACTACATCTCCCAGAATCCTTTCTGGACACCAGCTCAGTCACTATTCTCCTAATCAACTCTGCACCAGATATAAGAACACTCCACACTTTGCAATTCAATGACACTTTGCACTTCAGTACAAAATAAACTGAAGATAAAAAAAAATCCTAACAAAATCATTGAGCATGTTAATTCCAAACAATCTGAGCCTTTTTGGCACAACATACTGTAATTTTAATTTTAAACATGTTGTGCTGAAAACCAAAAATCAAGGCTCGATACAAAAAAATGCCCTGAAAATGTTCTTCCATTATATTTAATTCAATTATATGGAGTTAAATATTGTATAAATTACCTGGAGAATAATTTAACAGTTTTCTTTTAACTCTTTACTGTCTATACATCTTATTCTCAATGATCTCGTTTACTGTTTCTTGGTTTGCGGTAAAGCCTACATATAACTCATTGCTGTTGTGTCTTGGCAGCTGATAACCGTTCAAAGAGGAGAGTGTCTCACCATGAGAGGAAACAGCAAGATTTCTCCATATTTAAACTCTCAGAGAGTGAAATGAAGGTCAAAGTTTCCCCTCAGCTTCTGCTCGCGACACATCGCTTTCTAGCCACAGGTAATCTCAATTCACAGATGTGGTCAACATTACAAATGATCAATTGAAGTTTAATAGGATTTCAAGTTTTATGAAATTTAAATTGTTGTTTAAAGCACATCCAATGGATGGCCAAAAGTATGTGCACACGATTATTTGACACTAGTATACTCATTTGGCACAGCATTGAAAATCACAATGCTGTGTTTCACAATCAATGATTTTCTTTGCTCTCTTCCTGTCGGTAGAATTAGAGCCTTTTAAGCCAACGCACCTCTCCGAAAAGATCCTTCTGCGACTGATCAAGCACCCGAGCGTTTTGCAGGAACTCAAGTTTGATGAGAAAAACAAGCGATCGCCAAAGCACTTCCTCTTCCTGCGCAACAAGCCTGTGGATTATTTCATCCTAATATTGCAGGTGCAGCACTACAAGCTTTGAAATACATTCCGAAATGACTTTTAAATTGAAATACATATGCAAAATAAAAGCATTTTCAATATTGGACCCTCTGCAAGTAGAGTAAAAGTGCTACTTTGCTCATTTTTCATGAATGCAAACTTGATTTCAGCAGTGATTCATCTCTCTCTGGCTACAGGGTCGAGTCGAGGTAGAGATCGGTAAAGAGGGACTAAAGTTTGAAAATGGGCCGTTCACATATTACAGCTTACCTGCTATCATGGCCATCCTACCCTCAGGTTTGTTTACTGATATAAAATGCTCTTATTATGCGTTTTTAAAAGTTCTCTATAACATGTTTACAGCCATCCAAGGTCAAAAAACACTTGAATTTTCTCCTAATATACAATTTCTCCTAACATACAAATACAATATACAAGAATCACCTATTTATTTCTCAACGTGTCTGAAAAGGCTCGATAAAGGATTGATCTTTCTAAACCCCTTCTTTCCAAAAGCTTACTTTGCTCTGATTGGTCAGATGTTCAGCCCAGTGTTGCGATTGGTCTACTGCTTACAGCGCGTGTTGGAAACAAAGCCATTGCCATTTCTGAATTTCAGCTCCGGATGCTTCCTCAGCACTTGATACACATGCTGTGTCCGAAATCTCCACTCAAACCACTACTCCCTACCCCCTATGTAGGGGCTAGGTAGTAGAGCACTATATACAGTAGTGAGCTCGGCAACATAATAGAAACACCACTTTCGGACACAACTCGATCGTCTCTCGGCGCCGTTGATTATGTCATTGATGTCGCACTATTTAAACGCAAACTATTTATACATGTCTGACAAAATTGTAAAACTACTACATATAATAAGTTAAACGAGACATTTGTATGACAAATTTGTATTGTCGCACTGCTGCCCTTGTTGTCCGTCCACCACTTTTACGATCAGTGCAATGCATGATGGTATGTAGGGCTTGGGTTAGTGACCATCGGTTGTACACTACTTTTCAAAATGCATTCTGGGATACATTGAGTGGACTATATAGGGTATAATAATCATAACTATACATTCGGACAGCACTACAAATGGCGAGCTCACTAATAGTCCACTATATAGTGAGTAGTGGGAGGCCACAGTGATACAAACGATAATGATGGCGTCATTGTTCGTTGACAGCCAATGAGGATCTTAGGCTGGCATTATGCAAATTTGTTAGGTTTTTTTTTAGCAGGAAGTAATGCTGGACTGATTCTTTCTCGTGGGAGACATTTATCGTGCAGTTTGATCTTTTAAACTTTGCAGCCCTTTTACATTTACAAAACACTATCTTACACATGACATGAAAGGTAAAATCTGAAAAAGCATATAGGAGCATTGTAATACTATCAAAATTCATCACTGGAGCTGAGTCTCATTTGATAAATCGACTTGAGTTTTCGGAATATATTGAAGAAGATTTTCCTGCATTAAAAATATTAATGAGCAATTAAAAACTGTGATATGCGTTGAGCGCGCAGAGCATACTTGACCCCTCTAGCAACGCTCTCCAGAGATAATTAAAGCAGAATATCTTAACAGTGGCTATGTAAATCTTTGGAGAGTAAAGACGGGTAATTACAGCGGGAGAGAAACTCTTGTCTGCCCACTCAGGCAAAAATTGGCACGTTATTATATAAGGATGAAAATCTCATAAGCTTAGCGTCACGAAAATGCAAAAATAAGCCCTTGTCGAAGAGATTAATTCAGAACAAATGTGCGTTAAATCTAAGTTAAACTAAGTCTATGTCAAAGTCTGTCTCTCTGGTGAGGTTTATCTCTGCATCTCTCTCAGTGATGTAGACACACAAAGCCACACCGCAGATGCAAACACACACATTCCAACACACTCCGTCCAGGACCTCATTCTTTGCTAATGAGATATGACATATAAATGGGCATCTAAAATGAAGCTAAAGAGATCCTTTGTGTGGTGGAGGACAAGGTTTTTTTTTTTTTTTTTGGCTCACAATCTGTCCACACTAAAACGTTTTACCATTTTTTCAACACTGTAAGTCCAAATTTTCAAGTCCAAGTCCACACTTCAAATTTTAAGTTAAATGATCTAAAAAAAAAAGCAGTACTGTTTACACTGTAAAAAACTGATATGATCAATAAGTTATGACAACGTTTTTACATTGCTTTAACTCAGCTAACTCATTTTTTTTATCAGTTTAAAGCAAATCTGAGTTGATTGTTAAAAAATTGAAGGCAGCAGCTTTTTTGTGTTCAAACTAGAAGAGAATGTATCTTTACTAGGAGTGTGTTTTATCTTAAGCAGTGTTTGACTTGTTGTATGCATAAACAAATTAAAAATAGCCTATTAATATGAATATATATTTCACTCAAAAGTGTTTAATTCATTGTAAAACAGCAGCTTGGTATGTTTATCTTCATCGAAAATCCTCTAAAAATGAATAAAATGCATATAATAATATTACTTTGAATAATTCCACCTCAGCTAAGTGTACAAAAATGTACAATACACATACAGTGTAAGACTGTAATTGTAGATGCTTGATATGCTGAGGAAAGGACTGTCTAAATATCTGTGGCAATAATTTAAGGAATAGTCAAGTGAATCTCTGTGATGCAGTCCACAGGTCACCATCGCGGAGCAGCGGTCTCAATCATTCGGATACTACGATCCACGGAGGCAGCCTGGGTCAACTGAGCATCAGTGCTGGACCGTATTTACCAGACTATTCGGTTCGGCAGCTCACAGACCTACAGATCATTAAGGTACATTTGATTATGCTGAGAGAATTTAAAGAACCCCTGTGGTGAAAAATCATGGTTTTATTGTTGTTTAAATCTCTGTGTGGTGTTTTTAACCGTGCTTTAACCCTCTGATTATCTTAATTTGTGTCTACACTCATTATCTCTGGGGTCTCCAGGGACCCCAGACAATAACATTTAATTTTGTAACAGAATAATATATATATATATATATATATATATATATATATTTTTTTTTACAAATGTAATTTTAGTCTGTTTATTAATGTTTTTACTCAACATTTGTGCAGATTTTGGAGGATTTTTGATATCTTTTAAATTTCTATAAATAAAGAAATATTTAATTAAATAAGGCTTTTTTTTTTTTTTTTTTTTTTTTTTACAAAAACAGCATTTTATGTCAAATTTAATTTATAAAAGACCCAGATTTCTAACTTTCTTTTATGGGGATAACATGGATCATTTTAAATGATTTAATGTAAGATGATTTAATGTAAAAAACTCACTTTAACCACTAGATGGCCATAGACCTCCACCATAAGCTATTTGTTATGTGATTAACCAAACTACATATCTTTTCACAAGTTTTTCCAGTTGGATTTATATCTAAATATTATAAAATCACAATTATAACACACGAAAAAACTTTGTCAAAGTTTTTTGTACTGACAAAAGTTTTTCAATAATGTTACATTATGCTTAGAATCAAACCTGAGCAAGACTACAAATGTTAGATTTTATAATTTATTTCAATCATCTTTTTTTAATATAATTCTACAATTTTAATTCTACAATTTTACTAACTGTAACTGAACAAAAATACAGAAGTTAACAACTATATTACATATTGAGTAAAAATGCATGACTTGAACATCAAAATGCAATGAACTGAACAGCAATAACAAATGACCAAATAGCAGTAAAGCAGTAAAGGCAGTAAAAAAATAAAAATTAGTAAAAAAAAAAAAAAAAAACAGTGAATGGGGAAAAAAATCAAACAACTAAGAACAATAATTGGTGGTCTCATCTCATACAGTCTTGTTTACAGGCGTGCAGTGTAGGCGTATGCATAGTATAGCTTTACAAATGTATTACTGTGTGTGTGTGTGTGTGAGAGAGAGAGAGAGTGTGCATGCATTGTGGATTTTTTTTTTTTGCATTGTTGGAACTTGCAAGTGTATTTCCGCTTTATTTCTGTCTATGTGATCTTCGTTGTTTCTGATTTTGATGATGAATTTTGTATATTCACTATGCGGGGTATCCAGGGACCCCGAAGATAACTAGCGTCGGCATTTTTTTCACGCTAACATAAAAACACTTATCATTCTAATATATACTGTATATATTTTTTTTTTTTTTGCTAGATCTAGACAGTGTTAAGAGGCGTAGAAGTTTTCATACCATTTGGACAAAGAGAACATTTTTTTAAAAATCCCCAAAAGTCATTTGTGGGTCAAAAAGACCCCGAAGATAACCAGAGGTTTAAGACAAAGCATGTTCAAATTCATCAATCAACAGCATTGCTGAGTATTTTCTCCTTAAAACTGCAGTGAACCAAAGACTCTCAAAACTGTGGTTTAGAACAGCCGTCACAAATGTGTATCCAATCCCTTCAACTTGAGGGATGGGGATTTTCTCCACTGACTTACTATGATGTTCAGAACATTTCTAATGATGCTGATTTTTAGAAGGCAGTTGAGACTGTGAGAGTGCAAGAATGCAAATATTTATTGCTTTAAATTCAGTACATAAAATATGATCATAATGTATATTTCACAATGTGGTGAAAGAAGACAAGGTGAACAGGCAACAATTTGAATATAAACTACTTAGAAAAAAGGGTTCATTGGGGTTCTTTGTGAAGCATAGGGCTCTTTACTCGACTCCAAAGGAACTTTTATGCTAAAAAAGGTTCTATAATGACAAGAAAGAACCCTTTTGGCCCAAAGGTTCTTTATAGGCTATTATTCATTCATATATTTCATTATCCTGCAACATTTTGTAGTTGTAATTAAGTTTTTGTTTATTAAACTGTTGTAGTAACTTAATGTCACATTTTAATCATGCTGATTTTTGGAGGATAAAAACTGAAATGTCACACATTTTTTAACCCTCATATCTTGAAATTTGTGATCATTCACATGCATTGCATTTTAGGGGTTCCAAATATTTAGCGCTTTAGAACCTTTTAAGGTTCTATATTGAACCTTTTCTTCTAAGAGTGTAGCTTCTGGTATGTACAGACAGGCAGGTAACACTCAGACACGCTGTAACATACACAATAACAAATGACAATCAAGAACCGACTGGGCAGAAGGAAACTAAATACAGATATAAACGAACAATAACGAGGTGAGGACAGGTGACACGGATGATGAGGACGATGAGACAAGAAGGATTCTGGGAAGTGTAGTGAAGACGAAGACTGACTGGTGCAGATGATGACTGTGACAGTAGAATTGTACTTTCCATTTAAACAACATAAATGACGTTATGAATTAATACTTTTATTCAGCAAGGACACATTCAATTGATACAAATTGACTAAATACATTTATAGTGTTACAAAATATTTCTATTTCAAATAAATGATGCTCTTTTGAACTTTCCATTCATCGAACAATACTGAAAAATAAAACATTTTCCACAAAAATATTAAGCAGCTGACACTGATGACTGGAGTAATGATGCTGAACATTCAGATTTGTCATCACATTTTAAAATATATTACAATAGAAAACATTTTTTTTTTTTTTTAATTTGTAATATTTCACAATATCACGGTTTTCACTGTATTGGTGTTTTCGATGAAATTACAATAATAGGAATTTAGGATGAATAAAAATTGGGCACAATATGACCCAGACCCTGCTTTCTTTGTTGAGAATGAACCAAGGACTTGCATCAAACTTTTATTTCCTGTGTTCTCTTTGCTAAAAAAAAAAAACCCAAAATACCATTTAATAATAAAAAACGCTCATATAAATACTCTAATACTACGATAGAAACCTAGTATTATCAGATATGTATTGAAAAATTGTCTCAATTTCTGTCATTCTTTCCAGATCACTCGTAACCATTATCAGAACGCCCTGACAGCTACACGCATGGACATCTCTCCGCAAACACCCGATGCAGACAGTCGAGCTTCTGGGGAGAGAATGACAATCCCAGAGACACGTTCCAACAGCATCGCCCTTCCTCTGACTGAACCGCGACCCTGTCTGACCCGATTCCACCAGCACAGACGGCCAGACAGCACCACCGCCCTCAATGAGAGAAACCGCATAGTCCGTGAGTGCATTCGCTTTTCCTTTATGAGCCCCACTTTCTCAGGCAGCAAATAAATATTAAAACAATTTGACACTGAAAAATATTTTTACTCTGGAGCTAGATGACAGTCAGCGAAAGCTTTATATGACAGATTATAGACCATTTCACAAGATGTAAACAACACTGGTCCAGAAGCACTTCCTGTTTCAGTTTGTAACTGTTTTCTTTATTTCACATGTAAAGAAAACATCTTAAAGATGTTGTTTAACTTTTTGATTCAGTTTTAAATGTTCTGTTGGTTGAATTTTATCCCAGCTTTTATGTAGTGTTAAAAAACTGAAACAGGAAGTGCTTCTGGACCAGTGTTGTTTACATCTTGTGAAATGGTCTATATGAGCTCATCTATAAAGGCTCTCGGCCCGAATTCATAAAGAATGAAAAGAATCCTCTCAGAAAACTCTTAATTTAGTTTAAATACTTTTACGTAGGAGTCTTAGCTTAAGAGTGATTCGGGACTGATCTGAGAGCAACTCTGAGTTAGGAGAAGACAAAAACTTTCATCTTAGTGAGGAGGCGGGGCTGACCCCGTTGCTATGTATGACACACTCTTTTGAAGACTGTGATTGGTTGGTTGTCCAAGAAGGAAAAAAAAGAGCAATTTTAAGTATTGAGGGAATGCATTGACGTCACTTTCCCGCCGGAACAACCCCCCTCAGCCTGACTGAGTGGCAAAAGATCTGCTGCGTGACTGGATTTAATAGGGGAAACTGCGAAAATGCGACTAAAACGAACAATTTTATCATGGACTTAATATAGTGTTCCTTACAACTTACTAAAGATCCAGTGATCCATGGATATTGACATGCAGCCAGGAATCAAGTTGCCTGACATTTTATGTTTGCCTGATTTCGAAACCGGGGAAATAAAAGCAATATAGACCTAAACACAAAGCAAATTTGCCTGTGAACGCTTTCACGCTGAAAAAAAAAACAGCCGCTAAGTGTTTTTTCCACTCACTGTGACGTCACGCGCATTCCCTTTATAGAGTTTACTCACTCACACACACCTCAGCATTTGATACACAGTGATATAAACAGGAAAGATGATGTTGGTTTTTCCGTATCAATTGATTGTCTTTTTTTTCATGAATAAACAAACACTGTTAAGTTGTCTTGATTGATACTGTGAAGCAGCTTTGATACAATCTGTATTGTGAAAAGCGCTTTATAAATATATTTGACTTGACTTGACTTGACAGTTCCAGCATGAGTCCTCACCCTTTTGAAGTGCATGCAAATTGGATTCGCAACACTGAAAATGTCGACAACACAAACCAAACTCTTCCAGTCTCAGCTACAATAACAGTGTTTGAGGGCAAGGCAATGTAGACGCTTACAAACAGCTATAATATTGGAAAAAAGCTTAACACTTTAACCTTTGTGGAAACCAAAGATGCAGATAATGCATGTTGATGATGATAAAAGAGTTAAGACATTTCTTACAGCTTCCAAGCGCAAAACAAGACAGATGGCCGAGGCCGAACTCTAATCTTCTTAGCAGTAAAACTAATCAGACTTTGTGTGACAAATTTTAACTCTGATTCTTAAGCTAGAAATCACTTATAATGTCAAAATAGACACAAAGTTCAGTTTCCACTAATAAATTGAATCTGTCTTAAAGTGTACACAGGATCAAATGCAGGGTAATCAAATTACTGTTATACAAGATCACATCAATGTTTGCTTTTATATCAAAAGCTACTGTAAATATTTAATGTAGGCTACTGTGCATGTAATGCAGATAGCAAACTTCACAACGTGTTCCACCATCGCATCCAAAATTCAATGCAGTTTTACTTAAAATCCTAATAAAATTAAAATTGTTTGGCTTTCCGTCCAAGCTTGAAGGCTTGAGGTTGTCCGATGTCGTGCACTCATAAAAACTGTCAAAACAAACTAGACAATATATGCATTTAAAATGGACAGTCTTTCTCTGGATCAAAATGAATTTGAATGAATTGTCCAATGAAATGCTTTATACAATGAAAATATCTCAGTCAGAATTATAAATACCACATACCACCAATCGAATAATACAAGTAGCCGTACATCATTATCAGCAAACAATTTTCAATTTATGTGACTCAACTCAGAATTGCATACTAGCTATCTGCATAACATTGCATATGTTGCACAAATAGTAACCTATGATATTCCAGTCAACACAGGACAGAAAATTGTTTGCCAAACCATTTCCTCAAAACCATTTTTACACATAGCACATAGTACTACTACAAACTGATGTCTTCAGCGGACTGTGTCTCTCTGTCTCCCCCTGTAGGAAGTAAGTCAGATGGACAGAAGAGCCCCAGTGACTCTGTGTTCCTCCGTATGGATGACATCCCATATATTAGAGAGAGTCGTGTGGAGAGAAAAGAAGGAACTGGTGAGTGAATAGAAGGATGAGTTCTGAAGCGAAACCATGACAATATTATTACGCACCATTATACAGTACCGGTAATTACCTCATCACCTCATAAAAGGTACTAAAAAATGAAATCGAAAGTTACATTTGGAACAAACTGCTGCTCAGGTGAACCTAAATCATTGTCATTATTTCACAAATAATTTTCAAATTCTAAACGAATAGTTCACCCAAAATGTCATTATTTATTTATTTATTTAAAGGGATAGTTCACTTTGAAATTAATTTTGATATGTTTTAGCTTACCTCAAGGGCATCCAAGATGTAGGTGTCTTTGTTTCCACAGTATTTTCAATTTTGATATTTTTCGGTCAAACCATTCTTGTCTATCAGTCATATAATGCAGGTTTAGGGGGTCCTCCCTCGGTTCAGCTCAAAGAGCATGCACAGAGAAGTCCAAATTAAACATGATTGAATGACTCGTAAATGTAAGTACACATTGATGGCCTAAGACATGAAACGAGCATTTTGTGTGAGAAAACCAACAGTATTTATATAGTTTTTACCTCGTGTAATCCAAGTGATCTGAATCTGTTGTTCAATGTCCAACTGAACTGAACTGAATCAGTTCAATGTTACACCGGAAGTGATCGCTTGCGTGTGATGTCACTCAATATTTACACAGAGATTTCGGAAGTTTTACCTTTCACTAAACATATTAAGATTCGTCTTCCATTGAGATTTCCCGTATATCCAAATATGTTTAGATCTTCGCAGTGAAAGGTAAAACTTCCGAAATTTCTGTGTAAACAATGAAAGCAATCACTTCCGGCACATGCGCAGACCGAAGCGCCCGTTCCTTCAGATCAGTTGGACATGGCTGTGGTTACTTGAGGTAAAAACAATATAAATACTGTTCGTTTTCTCACACAAACTGCTCGTTTCATGTCTTAGGCCGTCAATGTGTACTTACATTTACGATTCATTCAATCATGTTTAATTTGGACTTTGCATGCACTCTGTGCATGCTCTTTGAGATGAACGCCATGAACCTTGAAGAATATCACAATTGAAAATACTGTGGAAACAAAGACACCTACATCTTGGATGCCCTTGAGGTAAGCTAAAACATATCAAAAATATTATAGATTTCAAATATACTATAGTTTTTAAAAATACTATCAAAAATACTATAGTTTTTAATCATGTATGGACTACTGTTACAATAATTTAGCTTGCTTGCGTTTAACCGTATACGGGTTAGAGAATGACTCGGTGGGAGAATGAGAGACTGGGTTTGTAAATAATGACAGAATATTCATTTTTAGGGTGAAATGTCCTTTTAAGAAGGGTGGTGGTCTGCTCTCTGAGTAAATGCACCCAAACTTTCAAACATTCGAGTAGCTGTTTGACAGCAGGAGGGATGCTTGACAGACTGCAGGGAGAGGAAATGCATTCGCTCTAGTCTCTGTTTATATGACCTGCAGAGGAATGTTGACATCAGGCTATAGAACTGTCCGTTTCAGCTCTGCATGTTATGACTGGAGGTTAACAGGACTTACTGAATCAGGAATCAATGAATCAGAGAACAGTTGCTGAATCAATCACTCGCCAGCTCAGTTTGTCATGTGATCGTGGCCTGCTGTCATAGTGTGTCCGATCTATTTCAGATGCGTCGGCCATACCCGTGGAGACGGACCTGTCTACGTCCCAGCTCATCAGCTCTTACTCTCTGGGTGGCTCGGATGAGAACCTGGGGAAAAAACTGCTCCGGAAACTGAGTGTGTATCAGCTGCCAATCACTTGACTGAATCAAACGTCACCGTCCCTATACTCTGCTGCAAAATGTTTCTATATTTGGGAAATCCGCCCCATAATGACACGACACCTGAGTTTACAGCTGAACACACACACACCTGTTTTTACACTGCATTTTCAAACTCCATCTGTTTCCTAGCAACTAACCAGACAAACTGCAGCCGACGACGTATCTGATTAATAAAAAAAACACAAGTTACTCTGAACAATGTTATTTGCGCAAGTAGGACATATTTCTGGGTCGGAAGCATTTTGTTGCCCCTGGAACATTATTTTTTTCCTGCTGTTAAAAAAAAGATTAGTGGGTGTGGGAGGCTGGTGCTTCAGCAAAACTTCTTGACTAGCCGACAAGACTTTCACATTAACAAATACAGTAACAACTGGATTTCTCATGATTAGTTAATGTTAAGTAATACATGTTAACTATAATGAACCTTATTGTAAAGTGTTAACTTTACAATAAGGTTCATTATAGTTAACATGTATTACTTAACATTAACTAATCATGAGAAATCCAGTTGTTACTGTATTTGTTAATGTTAGTTAAAGGATAATTCCACCGGTGGAGACATGAATATGTATTGAAAGTGGGTCATATATGTAGTAGAATATAATCATACATTCCTAATTTGGGTTCTTCTGGGCTGATAAAAGGCAGAAAATGACTTTTTAGTGCTTGTGCATTGTAGACAACAATCCCCATAGTGCATTGCAATGCTCAGCTCTGCAGGCCACTCCCACTACTCCGCCCATCCTGGTTATTAAAGACCGTTTACACAATACCATTTTCAACTTAAAGCAGAAAACTTTCTATGTCTTTTGGCTATGTCTTTTGGCTGTTAATTTACAGAGCCTGAAAGCGCAAACTTTATATAACGAGCTTCAAAGTATCATCAGTGTCAACTACAAAAAATGTGAATTTTCGTGAAAACTGTCACGTGCATTACGGAAGCCCCGCAACATCAAGAGAAAAAAAATGAAAAACTGAAAAAAACTAAAATCTAGCATTTCAAGATTAAAGTCGAAATGTTTAGAGAATAAAGTCAAAATATTACGATAACACAGTCTTCCATAGAAGTGTGTGCATTCATAACAGTGCGCGTCCACTGGCTCAGAGCGCACATGTGTGTGTGTGTGTTTGTGTAAAGAAAAGCACTTGTGAAGTCGAACTGCCATGGATTAACACAAAATAGTAGCTTTTTACTTTTATCTGGGCTTTCAACAAAATTGTACACAGGTGCTAGTGGCAGTGTTTCTGAGGTGGTTTCGTGCTCGTCTAGTCAACACAAGTGGAAATGTTTCGTCTTTAATCTCGAAATGTTTCGACTTTAATCTCGAAATGTTTCGACTTTAATCTCGAAATGTTTCGCCTTTAATCTCGAAATGTTTCGACTTTAATCTCGAAATGTTTCTACTTTTATCTTGCAATTTTTCGACTTTAATCTCAAAATTTTTCGACTTTAATCTCGAAATGTTTCGACTTTAATCTCGAAATGTTTCGACTTTAATCTCGAAATTTTTCTACTTTTATCTTGCAATTTTTCGACTTTAATCTCAAAATTTTTCGCCTTTAATCTCAAAATGTTTCGACTTCAATCTCGAAATGTTTCGACATTAATCTCGAAATGTTTCAACTTAAATCTCGAAATGTTTCGAGTTTAATCTCGAAATGTTTCGACTAATCTCGAAAATGTTCAACTTTAATCTCGAAATGTTCCGACTTTAATCTCGAAATGTTTTGACTTTAATCTCAAAATTTTTCGACTTTAATCTCGAAATTTTTGCACTTTAATCTCAAAATGTTTCGACTTTAATCTCAAAATGCTTTTTTTTTTTTTTTTTTTTTTTACAGATTTTGTACTCAGTCTATAGGCGCATAAAAAAGTATATTGGCGCATAGTGTTTTTTTACAAAGTACCAAAGCCAACTACTGACCTGGAATACATAATCCAGGGTTTGTCCTTATCTTTGCGGACCTGTGTTGAACGGGAATCACTTCGACAATGTTGTCGCCTGTACGTGAAAGACGCAAAATTATCCATCGACTACCAGCTTTTCATTTAAGATTTTCATGTCAGTTCAAAACTAGGATTTTTATATTTCCCTTTCTACTCTCCAGGCAACAAAAAAAGAAAGAAGTCTCGTGATGGAGATAAACCTTTGGAGGACAATCCTGAACATTCACAGGTGAAGACCTAGCATTCATTTTATGGGTTTGCTTCTCTCTCGCACTCTCCTGCTTCTCCGAAAAATGTGAAATCTTCTCCAGCCTTCCTCTGGATCTTGAGAGAGAGAGAGAGAGAGAGAGAGAGAGAGAGAGAGAGAGAGAGAGAGAGAGAGAGAGAGAGAGAGAGCACAACCCGGTGTACACAGACCACCACAACAGGATGTAGCATCATAAAGCCTCGTCTTCAGCATTGAAACTGGATGACGCTCAATGCCTGTTTCAACAAACCTGAAATCTCCAACATGCAGCAAGACTTGCTTTTTTAAAATTGACGAAATGCTACATAACCATTGATATACTACAGTTTTGATGCCGGTTTATGATGATGTCATCTCCAGTCACTGTGGTTATGACAGTCTGACCTCTGACCCGGGCAAAGCCAGCAAGCACAAGCCTGGATACATGAAGCCAACCATCTGACCAATGACACGGCAGAACCTTTAGTACGTCTCTAAACGTGGTCATCTGTCAGTAGAATTATCTTGAAACAAAGTGTTTATTGTGTGATTTTATATCATATTATGTCAGAAGTATTTGTCAGGCTGTGCCTGGAAATCAATTAAGATGAATTTATTATTATCAAAGCACTTTGAGACAGATCAGACCCATTTATTTCATATTCTGTTGAATAGCTAAATAGTGGACACAGGGGAAAATACCTATATTAGGTATAAGTGCTGTCAGATTTTTTTTTTCTGTTTTCTGTTTGAATGAATATTTAATGTTGGTTTCTTATTTTGCTTTCATTTCTGCACTTTCGTTCAGCTGAGAGCACAGGGTACAAAGTGATATGGCTTTTTGTTAGTTTTTTTTAGCTATTTTAGGCCATATTTGAATATAGTTTTTTAAAAATAGTTTGCAATGCCAGTGCTAATGGCCCAATCACATATATTTGACAATAGATTTATTTGTCTAAAATGAACATTTATTATATTGGCATGCTTTTCTCAAACAGCAGTAGAATTATTATTAGATTAGCATTGTGTTTAATGTATGAAATATAGATTAGAATATGCGCAAGCCATAACTTGAACAAACTTGAAGCATTGATATAAAAATTACATATATATAAAATAATAAGCAATATCCAAAACATGCAAGAAGCCTTTTTGTTTTGCTTTTCAGCCCTTTCAAAACTGAAAACTAAAGAATACTTAGTAACATGCTGAAAATCATTTCATGACTTTTCTGTACATTTTATGAGCCTTTTTATGTGGCATTCATATTTATACCACCGTTCAAAAGTTTGGGGTCAGTAAGATTTGGTGTTTTTTGAAAGAAATTACATTTACATGAATACTTTTATTCAGCAAGCATAAATTGAGCAAAAGTGACAGTAAAGATATTTATGATGTAACAATTTCTATTTCTATAATAAATGCTGTTTAAAAAACCTTTCTATTTACCAAAGAATCATGAAAAAAAACTGTTTTCAACATTATTAATAGCATAAAATCAGTATATCCGAAGGATCATGTGGCACTTAAGACTGGAGTAATGATGCTGAAAATTCAGCTTTGCAGTCACAGGAATAAATTCAATTCTAATATATATTAACATAGAAAATGGTTATTTTAAATTGTAATAATATTACTGTTTTTACTGTGTTTTTGATCAAATAAAAAATTGCGTCCTATCAAATAAAAATACAAATCCTGACCTCAAACGGTAATGTACAATCACCCAAACATCATATAAATACCTGAGCACCCATCACTGCTTCACTGCCATGACTTTTCCCAGCATGCCATGATCATGACAAACTAACCAATCAGCTCATGCCTGCCAACAACAGGTCACATGATTACATTATGCCATAGGATTATAGGGGCTTGGATGTGTTTTTGCATGAAAGGCTGTTCTTTACCGAGTATGTAGTAAGTTAATACCTTTCCCCCGCATGCATGCAGCAGACGCTGGTGATATAGACTGTTGGGCGATATGCGAGACTCTTTTTTACCTCTTTGCTAACAGTGACCTATATGAAATCACCAGGGAGTCGAACAAAGAAAGCACAAAGACTCAAGCTGGAAAACACTGGATGTCTGTTTCTTCTCCCATGATATTTATCCCTAGTAACTTTTAATAGCAATAACCAAGCTAGCCCCTTTCTTTGCATCTTGTTGAGCTGGAGTGAACTGAATGTGCCTGCTCGCTTTCAGGCCACATGGACACTTTGTGTTGTGCAATACTGTGAGCTAAGGCCACTGTATGGAGAGCACATGCTGACAGAGAGAGGACAACCCTTTATACGTCACAGCGCTGCATTGCAGGGTGGACTGAGTGACGCATGCTGACATCTGAATCGACCCATCCAAACAAACACGAGTACCGATTGATAAGACCAGACATGCACAAAATCCACTGAAACAACACATTAGATGACGTGCATATTTAAGCCTTAAACTGTTGGTATTTTCTGAAGAAAATCCTCTCCAGCTCTCGCTCTCTGTACAGTGGGGTTGGCCGAATGATAGATGTATGTTTCTACAGAGTTTACAAAGACTTCTATTTGAAAGCACATGAATTTATTAAAAAAGGACACACACACATATATATAAAGAGAATATCAAATGTTCTATTAAGTCCTGATGTGGTATTTTTAGTATGAAAAGTACCACTAGATTCCCATTAAATTAAGATTTGAATCAAATTTGTCTTGGAAAACATCCTTTTTGTTCAAATTCAGCACAATGAACACTGTTAAAGTCACCATGAAATCAAGATCCACATTGTTGTTGAAGTATTTAATATAAATGAATTATCCGTGCACATAATTTTGTTGAAATTCATGTGCCCTCGTAATCTTTAATCAAAATGAACCCCTTCTTACAGTGATGTGTTTACTGGCGTGAGGGCGGGAACACCTGTCACTTGTCACCTGTCACAATATATAAATTTACCAATAGCAAATCCGCACACACTCTCATAACTCCTGATGGACAAAATCAAGGCCCGCCCTACATTATTTCTTGTTCGAAAGGGCGTTGCACTTGGGTATGTCATTAGGGGGGGAAAAAAGACTATCGCAACCTCTGTTTCATGCTGATTTTAGCCAATACTACGGATATTATGGTATTTATACACAGAAGATATATTTTTAATTCATGAGAACTTTTTAGATTAAAATCATCAATTGTACACATGCATGTATATTTTTAAGAAATATTTGTATATATATATATATTTTTTTTTTTACATATAATTTATATATAAATAACACATTTTTCTTAAATATATACATGCATGTGTGTGTATTTATATATACAAAATAATTATACACAGTACACACACACAAACTTTTTTTTTTTTTTTGATGTGATTAATGAGCCCGTTCTCATCCCAAAGCGCCATATAGGACGCTTTTGCAAAAGCGTAAATATCCAACGCACATGGCACCCTTTAACGTCAAATGAGACGCAGATATATTTGGGCAGAAGGCGCCCCCTAGTGGTCTAACCCTTACCCTACACCATACCTAAACTTAACCATAACCGAAGCGTCTCATTAGACGTTAAAGGGTGCCATGTGCGTTGGATATTTACGCTTTTGCAAAAGCGTTGTATATGGCGCTTTGGGATGAGAATGCGTTAGATTAATCGTTGCACAGCCCCAATGGGCACATGGTCTGGGCTTTCTTGATTTTTGTTGGCAAAAGTAAAGGCCCTTTTACACCAAAAGTGAAATGAACAGAGTGCCGAAGTGATGACGTCACTTTGTAGGACAACTCGGAAGTTAGCGTCGCATGGGTTGCCTCGATCGAAAAGCTATGCATTTTCCTGTGCTATGTGCAATCTGTGTTCAACAAAGAGTTGTGCCTTACACGTTTTGTCTATCAAGATAATCTTTACAAGTTAATCCAAAATGTAATCAAAATCTAATAATCCCATAGATTTTTGGGCGAGGGAACCGGTTGTGCTAAAATGCTAACTCACTTCCGTGTTTTGGCCTACATAGTGACGTCATAACTTCGGCACTCTATAGAGAGCCTAAGTCCCTCCCCTTCCGGTCGACCACCATGGGACCTTATTTTGGAAAAATATTGTATGGTAGTAAATGGCGAGAGACAACAAATATTTTGATCTCGTTTGAATTGTGCTCTGAATTACACATATGATCTTTGTAAATTTAAAAAAATACATTTTAAAGTAAAGAAAGTCGCAGTTTGATGTAAAACCATTGAGGTATTAAGCCTGTGAAAATACGTAATTACAAAGACTACAATCCCCAAAGGTGCACATTTTCTCTCAATGAATGAAGCTAACTTTACTGAGGCTATGTCTGTCATTGTTTCTATAGTGTTACATTATAATCGTAACGTTACGCCGTCATGCCTGAGTGTTGTACAAGACTGCACACACATGAGCAGCGGATCTTGCTCGTTGTTTCGCTTCCCGGGAGATGTAGTTCATTGAGCGATTTTCACATAAAACTAAATGTTACTCTTCTGTTTTATGACCAACTGCGACGTCTTTGACTTTCAGAATTATCTTTTAAATTGACAAACATCATATGTGTAATTCAGGGCACAGTTCAGACGGAATAAAAAGATAAGTTGTCTCTCGCCATTGACTACCATACATATTTTTTTCCGAAATAAGGTCCCATGCGCCAGAAGCGGAGGGGCGGGACTTATATGCCTTAAAGGAAATGCAAATTTACTCCTGTACAGTAGAGGGCAGAAGAATAGGACACAGGAAAAGAAAGTTTAACACATACTTTTAGCAATCAAAATGAATTAATATAATAAAATAAACAGCCATTCGAGAGTCCTTACATTATTGGTGCTCGGGCCCTAATGAAACACAAAGGTTTTTTTTTAGCTAAAATCATTTTTGCTTTATTATATGATTGAAAAGGACGTCAAAGGTCAGCGTGTTAATAAAGTGAGATTAAATACATAAAGTATACTTGTATTGTTTAACATATTGCAGGTTTTCATTTCGCTGTTTTTTTATCATTTTGAGGAATACTGAATGTTGAGAAATGCATGCTTACATTTCTAGAACTACAATAACCATCAACTTTACACAGCGCATGTAACGCCTCTGTACTTTCAATTCTATGGGGTTGCATTCCAACGCATTCTCACCCCAAGGCGTCACCTTTGACCATGCTCCAATATTTGACGTTTTAGGCGCCCTTTAGCGTCACTTACATGACGTGATCCTACGGCGTCATCTAACTGACGCTAAAGGAAAGCGTCAGTTAGAGGACGAGGTTAGGTTTAGGTGTGGGGTGGGGGTAGGGTACACGCGATCCTAGGGCGTCATCTAACTGACGCTAAAGGGCGCCTAAAGCGTCAGATATTGAAGCATGTCCAAATTCTTCCCAAGGCGTCAGTTAAGTGATGCCTTGGGGGTGAGAATGGGCTGTGCATTCTCAACGCATTCTCACCCCAAGGCGTCACCTTTGACCATGCTTCAATATTTGACGTTTTAGGCGCCCTTTAATCAACAGTTTAGGAATCTGCCATTTTACAGGCACAAATCTCACTTCCACTTCCACTTACATGACGCGATCTTACGGCGTCATCTAACTGACGCTAAAGGAAAGCGTCAGTTAGAGGACGCGGTTAGGTTTAGGTGTGGAGTGGGGTAGGGTACACGCGATCCTAGGGCGTCATCTAACTGACGCTAAAGGGCGCCTAAAGCGTCAGATATTGAAGCATGTCCAAATGCTTCCCAAGGCGTCAGTTAAGTGACGCCTTGGGGGTGAGAATGGGCTGGCATTCTGTGGGGTTGACTCCAGGGCTATTTCAGGATAACCTTTGCTGGTTGTTATTTTGAGGCAGAACACATTCTTTGAATATGCTTATCATGGAGCTAATGCCACTTGATCATTCAGAATCTACTACATAAGGCCCAACGGTGGAAGTGAGATTTGTGCCTGTAAAATGGCAGATTCCTAAACTGTTGATCCCCAAACTTATGTGGTTACAGATTTGCAAAGAACCTAAACTTATAGTTTCTTGTCACAGCAAGTTTAAAATGGGCTTGCTAGAAATAAATAGTGCCAGTCTGTGTACAGTTTATAAATCACACATTTTAAAACCATACACTACGGATTTTACTTTTAAAACGTGTTTTGTGCCAACGCTGTTATATTAAAACCTTTACAAGTTTGAGCATTACAGGGTTTATGAAGCACTGGAGATGCAAAAATAGCCTTTACTATAGCACATCTCACAAAAAGTACACAAGACCAATAAGTATACTAAAATACTGAAAAAAGATTGTAAGAAATACTTACTTAATACTTATATTGTAATTTAAATTATTCAACCCCCATTGCAAGTCAGGTTTATTGGCAAAATGTATACACTTTCAGCTGTTTCCAATTAACAAATCAAACAAAAGCAATTGAAATAACTCAGCACAACAAAATTGGTTTCAACTGAAAATGCAACTTTTAATGACTTCCGCAGTCAAAACTATTCAACCTCTTCATGGCAAGCATCTTTAGTACTTGGTAGAACACCCTTTTGCTGTTATGACCTGCTGCAAACATGATGTATAACCAGACACCAGCTTCTGGCAGCGTTTCTGAGGAATCTTTGCCCATTCCTCATGAGCAATGGCCTCCAGTTCAGTAATATTCTAGGTAAACCACATGTAAAAAAGCACTTGATCTATATGGCCTTGTAATCGTGTTAAGAAGTTATATTTTAGCTATATAATCCATATAAAATAATATGTTACAATTATTAAATATAACATTTTGATTTCATCTTAAATATATTCCATCATATACAGTTCAATAGTAAGTAAAGCTGCATTATTGCTTCTGCTGCGAGGTTTCACAGAATAATGCAGATAGTGTAGCTTAGCAGGCTAATGAGAGGTCTGTAATCTGGGTCTGTTTTTGTTTAAAGGTCCAGTGACACCCAAGTTTCAGTTTCCTCACTGACAACATTATTTCCTGATACTTCAATGAATCCCTCTTGCCTGCAGCCCCAGAGCATCACTGAGTACCACAATGCTTAACTGAAGGCACAATGTTCTTTTCATATGCTTCATATTGATCTATAGGCCAAAAAGTTCCAGTTTTGTTTAATCGCTCCACAGAACAGAATCCCAGGACTTCTGTGGCTTATTTCTGGCACTTCTATTGTGCTTTTGGGTCAGTAGTGGTGTAAGTCTTTGGGTTCTGTCATGGAAACAGCATTTGTTTAGTATGCAACTGTGGTGGAAATTTTAAACTATATATTAAACTAACCATGTTTCTAATTTTCATACCTCCCTATTCTATTAAAACTTGTATCCATGCTCACTGGTGGATTCTCAATGGGATTTTTCTGAGGTCCTCCAGCCATGCTTGAACCTTTTTCTTGGGGGAAGTTCTCTGAGGAAATATCGAGAGAACTCCTGGCCATGATTAAAGCTTTTAGAGGACATTTGCTAAAGTCTGTTTGTGGATTATTCCAGCACAGGAAGCAATTTAAGGGGGACAAGTATTAGCACCCAGCCGACATTGATGTGTAGACGCACTAGGGTGTAGGGTTAGACTCGGCCGATGTCAATGTGTAGATGTGCTAGGGTAGAGAGTTAGACTCGGCCGACATCGATGTGTAGACATGATAGGGTATAGGGTTAGACTCAGCCGAAGTCAATGTGTAGATGTGCTAGGGTAGAGAGTTAGACTCGGCCGACATCGATGTGTAGACATGATAGGGTATAGGGTTAGACTCAGCCGAAGTCAATGTGTAGATGTGCTAGGGTATAGGGTTGGACTTGGAGGACGTTGATGTGTAGACGCGTTAGGGTATGGGATTAGACTCGGCCGACGTTGATGTGTAGACACGCTAGGGTATAGGATTAACACCCAGCTGACGTTGATGTCTAGGCGAGCTAGGGTATAGGATTAGACTCGAATGACATTGATGCGTTGGCAAGCGAGGGTATAGGATTAGACTCGGATGACGTTGATATAGGCGCGCTAGGGTATAGGATTAGACTTGGATGACTTTGATGTGCAGGCGCGCTAGGGTATAGGGTTAGACTCGGCCGATGTCGATGCGTAGACACGCTGGGGTATAGGGTTAGACTCGGATGACGTTGATGTGTAGGCGAGCTAGGGTATACAGTTAGACTTGGCCGACATTGATGTGTAGTCGCACCACGGTATAAGTTTAGCACCCAGCCGACATCCATGTCTAGACACGCTAGGGTATAGGGTTAGACTCGGGCTGATGTCGATGTGTAGACGCACTAGGGTATAGGGTTACACCATGACATCTTGACTTTTCCGTAAACATACACGCCACTTTCGAGTCAAGTGGCGTGTTATCTCTACGCATTTTGAACTATCCGCGTGTATGTCTACGCCATTAACGTCCGAGCGATTCCGCGTGTCTGTACACGCCGTCAAATGTCCGCGCGAAACGAAAAAAAATGTAGATCAACATCTGGGGATCTTTTTTTTTCCTAGGATGGTAAGGGAACAGTCATAAATGCCATTAACCCCATGAGGGTTAGGTTTAGGGACGGGGTTGAGGTAAGTCATATATTTATATATACAGTAATAACGTTAAGTCAACGGCGTTCATAAACACGCTGAAAAGCGATTATGCGTCTTGATAGCACGCCAAAAATGGAAATATGAATTGGCGTGTCATACACACGCTACTTCATGAGATCAGTCTGAGGGTTAGCACCCAGCCGACGTCGCTGTGTAGCTGTCCAACGGTGTCTCGAGAAACATTTAGTGCCTTTGCTATCTTATTGTATCCAGTTTCTTTTGTGAAGTGCGATGATATCTCTTAACTTTTTGGACCATTCTTTCGGACCATATTTCTAACATGCAGTCAAAAGTGACACTCGGCAAACGCCACTTGAGATCTTTCGTGTGTTCTAGCTCAAGTATACCTGGTGCAACTAATTAAGTCTTTGTTTATTTGCATCAGGTGTGCTTGAGATAACAACTTTGTTTTGCAGATTTGTTAGGGATTGTACTCAGGGGTTGAATAATTTTGAGACTACAAAAGTCATTAAAAGTTCCTTTTTCAGGTGAATTTAGGGAAACCACTTTCAATTACTTTTGTTTGATTTGTTCATTGCAAACCGCTGAAAGTTTGTAAATTCTGCCAATAAACCTGATTTGCAATGAGAGTTGAATAATTTCGATTAAACAGTGTGTGTGTCTGTCTATATATATATATATATATATATATATATACACTTGTGCGAGTAAAACATGCAAGACAGCATGTTCATTCAACATCTTCATTTATTTCAATGCACTTTGATTAAGTCTGTTTGAGATCAAAGAGCTTTTATACTCCTTGAGGTTTGATCTTACAAGACTAAGCTGGGTGGGAGTACTTGGACTAATGCCACATTCATTCAATAAACAGTTCTTGCACAAATGAGTCTGAAACACAGCAGTGAAAGTGACTGATCAGAATCAGCAGATTTAAAAAACATCAGAAAATAAAGTGCAAAAGAATGCCTGGGGTCTTCACAACCCAGAATTTCCTGAAAAACCGTCATCAAAGGCAAAAAGGTTAAAAAGAATATTAAACCCCCAAATCACTTTTCTGTATTAATTCACTCCCCCTCAGCTGTCAGAGACCCAATATGCTTGAATGCACTTATTCACACAGAACACAATACCGGGTTTGTTCTTTCACTCAGTTACAATACGTTTAAAAGTGAATAACAAAAAGTTGATTTAAAGGTAAAATGTTGCTTCAAACCATTTCAATTGAAGTAAGAGCATCAGATGACAAACGAATCACACTGGAATTAACAGTGAAACAAGTTAGACAATCTCTGTGTGTTAAAAAATATCTCTGTGTGCAAGTTTCTCAATGTAACTGAATGCATTGAAATGTTCAGAAATGTGATAATAAAAATCAACGAGTTAATATAGAGCTAGTTCTTTAGATCTTTCCCCATCAACTTTATATAACTGATTCAGTGACACTAAGCTGTGTGAATTTAACATAAGGACCATGAAAGATCTCAAAGATGGAACTTCAGGTCAATGAAATCCAAAGACATTGGGTTGACTGCAACTCTACCACAAAGTGCTTATTCATACAAACACGATTATTTGAAATATTCAGTACAGAGAATATATATAGGAGAAGGAAATATATATCTTAAGGGACCGATTCATTACTTTATAATTACAAGTTAAAACAGGATGTTGAAACGCTGATGAGTAAATTAGACCAGGAAAAGCTGAAGTGTGTGTGTGTCTGTGTGCGTCTATATTCATGTGGACACACACACACAAACAGGAAGTGTGGTAAAGGTGCTTATTGGACTGTAGTGACGGCCTCATGAATGGACTCGGCCACATAGTCGATGTTCTTGGAGGTGAGGCCACACATGTTGATGCGACCGCTCGCCATTAGATAAATGTGCTTCTCTTTTATCATGTACTCCACCTGCTTAGCTGTAAAACAGAACATTTTGAAATGGCTTAGTGACGCTCTATGTGAATTCGAAAAGCATACAACGAATTAGATAACAAAATATCAAGTGACAAATTCAAAGAAATGATGGCTTTTCTCAGTAGTGACACTCTCAAAACAATCCCAGTGGATGGAAATTTTGTATGAAATTCAAATACAGAAATCTTAGGTAAAGGAGGTGCTTACGATTGAGTCCTGTGAAGCTGAACATGCCGATCTGTTCGGTGATGTGCTCCCAGGTTCCTGGAGTTCCTAGTGCTTTTAGTTTTTCTTTCAGCTGAGCACGCATCAACAGGACCCTGTCTGCCATCGTCTTTACATTGTCCTTCCTGTTGGAAGATGCCAAAAGAACAAATCGCATCATACACTCATAAATTCATTTCAATAAATTAATTGAACCGCGAGAGGCGTCAAAGCTCTCGGAGTTATAACAAATAGGACTGGGGAACATACTCAAGCTAATTCTCGTTTGAACATTTAGCATTTTATGATGGATGCATGCACTTTTATGGACTTCAAAACAGAAACTGCCATTATAAAACTTGTTAGAGCCAGGACATTTTTTAATATAACTCTGATTGTATTCGTCTGAAAGAATAATGTCATATACACCAAGGGTGGCTTCTGGGTGAGTAAATAATGGGGTAATTTTCATTTTTGGGTGAACCATCCCTTTAAATGTGACATGCAAAATTCACAAACACTACCATTCAAAAGTTTAGGGTTGGTATGATTTTAAAAAGATTGCATTAAAGAGATAGTTCACTTTGAAATGATTTTTTTATATATGTTTTAGCTTACCTCAAGTGCATCCAAGATGTAGGTGTCTTTGTTTCCACAGTATTTTCAATTTTGATATTTTTAGGTCAAACCGTTCTTGTCTGTCAGTCATATAATGGAGGTATATGGGGTCCACCTCAAAGAGAGAAGTCCAAATTAAACATGATTTAATGACTCGTAAATGTAAGTACACATTGATGGCCAAAAACACGAAACGAGCGGTTTGTGTGAGAAAACCAACAGTATTTATATCGTTTTTATGTCCAAGTGATCTGAAGTGATGGGGGCTTCGGTCTGCGAAAGCGTCGGAAGTGATCTCTTGCGCAGTTGTGAAAAAACAAAACAAATAACAATCAACGCTGTCTGTTGATATATCGAAATCGTCTGTCGAAATATATCGAAATATAAATACTGTTAGTTTTCTCACACAAACCGCTCGTTTCGTGTCTTAGGCCATCAATGTGTACTTACATTTACGAGTCATTAAATCATGTTTAATTTGGACTTCTCTGTGCATGCTCTTTGAGGTGGACCCCATATACCTCCATTATATGACGAACGGTTTGACCTAAAAATATCAAAATTGAAAATACTGTGGAAACAAAGACACCTACATCTTGGATGCCCTTGAGGTAAGCTAAAACATATCAAAAATTAATTTCAAAGTGAACTACCCCTTTAATTTGATCAAAAACACAGTAAAAACAGTTCAACTGTAAAATATCATTACAATTTAAAAGAACTGTTTTCTATTTTAAAATGTAATTTATTCCTGTGATGAATTTTCAGCATCATTACTCCTGTCTTCAGTGTCACAGAAGTGACACAGTGTCTTCAGAAATCATTCTAATATGCTGATTTTCTGCTCAAAAAACATTTCTTATTATTATAAATGTTGAAAACAATTGTGCTGCTTGATATTTTTTGGGAAACGCTGAGGATGCCTCGTCAGGATTCTTTGATGAACAGAAAGAAAAAAGTAAAAATGAACCACATTTATTTGAAATAAAAATCGTTTGTAAAATTATAAATGTCTGTAGTGTCACTTTTGATCAATTTAATGCATCCTTGCAAAATAAAATTATTAATTTCTTTCAAAAGCAATAAAATCTTAGAACAAACTTTTGAACGGTATTGTACACATGTCACTGGTCAGAATTATTTGCCCCCTTGGTAAATATGATCAAAGATGGCTGTAAAAAAATAAATTTGCATTGTTAATCTTTTGATATTGTATTCAAAAAAAATAAAAATAAAAAAAGAACCTTTCAGACGACAATTATTTACCCCCATTTATTAAAGACTCTCCTTTTCTCAAGATACCAGCTCTGAGTCTTCTCCTATAATGCCTGATGAGTTTGGAGAACACCTAACGAGAGATCAGAGATCAGTCCTCCATACAGAATCTCTCCAGATCCTTCAGATTCCCAGATCCATGTTGGCGCTTCTTCTCTTCAGTTCAGCCCACTCATTTACTATAGGGTTCAGGTCTGGGACTGAGATGGCCATTGCAGATGCTTGGTTTTCTAGAAGATTTCTAGCAGAAGTTGTCAGGTTTTGATACATGGCTTCGATCAAATACCAACAGAAAAAAAAAAAAAAAAATCAAAACCTGACAACCTGTGCTAGAAATCTTATAATGGGCCATGTTTGGATCTTCCATCAGGACAGTGATCCAAAAACAAGCATCAAAATCAAAGCAAAAATGGGTCACTGAGCATCTGCAATGGCCATCTCAGTCCCAGACCTGAACCCTACAGTAAATAAGTGGGCTGAACTGAAGAGAAGAAGCGCCAACATGAATCTGGGAATCTGAAGGATCTGGAGAGATTCTGTATGGAGGAATGATCTCTGATAAAGTATCAAAAGGATAAAAAAAACTGTGCAGATTTATTTTTTTACAGCCATCTTTGATCAATAATTCTGTCCAGCACTGTACATATATTCTTTAAAATAACAAAACTAGAGTCATTTGAATTGCATTTACCATTCAGCAAAAAGCTCAGGGGTGTTGAGTGTGATGGCAACCAGACGAGCTCCCTGGGACGGAGGATTGGACCAGGTTATCCGAACGATCTTCTCCATTTGAGAGAGAACACGATTTAAATTGTCTTGGTCTTTAGATACAACTGTCAGGTTCCCCACTCTCTCATCTGTGGAGTCAGATTATTCTTTAAAATCAGGTTCTGGCATTAATACAATCTGTAGCGAGGAATGTACAACCTGTTGGAATCACTTACTGTACAGACCGAAGTTCTTTGAGAACGACTGGGCACAGAACAATTCAAAACCCTGAGACACAAAGTAGCGGATAGCCCAGGCATCTTTCTCTAAATTTCCTGAGGCAAAACCCTGATAGGCTGAATCAAAGAAGGCAAACAGATTCTTTCGCTAAAGAGAGAGGAGAGAGAAGAAAAAAGTTAGAAAACAAAGGGGAATTATAGCTCCAATGATGCAACTTTTCACATTCTTCGTCCTGTCTGACTACAATTTTGAAAAGCTATTTTGGGTTAAGGTAATTATGCAATAGCTAACTCAGTATTTATAAAACTATCGAGAGTTTAAATTTGGACTACAGTAGGTTGTAATTGCAGGTTGTGCCTAAATGGCTTATTGAATGCAATTAAGTTCCATTTCTGTATCATGTGCTTCAATGTTCTAAACCTGTTGCATGAACTCAGCCTGTGTCTGAAAGGGATAGTTCACCCTAAATAAAAATGAAGACTAGTATAAGCAGTTTATGCAACTGGCCACTGGTGTCACAGTCAGATGATGTGGGGTTATTGTGATGGTCTAACCTTCATGACATCAGCGATCTGCTTCCATTGGTCCTGGGTCGGGTCTGTACCGGTGGGGTTGTGAGCGCAGGCATGCAGCACAAAGATGGAGTGATCAGGAGCGCTCTGGCAGGACAGACATATTTTCAATTACACATTAATATTTATTTTCAAACTGATCACTGTTTTCCTGGTAAAGAAATCATAATACACTAGTTTGGGCTCAGTTCGATTTTGAATAATGTCTTTGTTTTTGAAAAAAGATCAAATATTCAGTAAAAACAGTAAAATTGTGACATATTAATTAATACAATTTTAATATGTCAATATGTTTTAATACGTTTAAAACGGTTTTCTATTTGAATATATATTTAAAATGTTATTTATCCCTGTGATGGCAAAGCTGAAATTTACTTCAGTCTCCAATGTCACATGATCCTCAAGATCCACATAAATTTGCTGGTCAAGAATTATGGCTGTCAACCGCTTAATCGCGATTAATCGGATCTAAAATAAAAGTTTGTGTTTACATAATATATGTGGGTGCACTGTGTATAATTGTTCTGTATATATATATATATATATATATATATATATATATATATATATAAATATATATATATATATATACACATGCATGCATACACACAATATTATTTATATTTAAAATATTTATATTTATATATAATATAGATTATATATACATCTATATACAGTACATACATAAAAATATTTCTTAAATATATACAAGCATGTGTGTGTATTTATATATACAAAATAATTATACACAGAGCACCCACATATATTATGTAAACACAAACTTTTTGGACAATTTGGATGCGATTAATCGTTTGACAGCCTACCAAGAATATTTCTTATTATTAGCAAAGTTGAAAAAAATATGTTGTGCTGATAAATATTTTAATAAAGGATTCTTTGATGAAGAAAAAGTTCCAAATATATTTCAAACTGAATGCCACTTTTGATCAATTAAATGTATCCTTGCAGAATATACATTTTTACCACAGATTTTTATTTTCTGCTGGGCTTATGAACCAGTAGTTCAGATATATATATATATATATATATATATATATATATATATATATATATATATGTATGTATCTTAACTGCTGGTTCATAAATCAGTATATTAAAAATCTGTGGTAAAAATGACAGTGGTAAATGACAAAAGGCACTTCTGTTTGTACATAATCTAAGGTTTTTAGATATCTTATCAATAACTGATAAATAAGTAACTATAAAGTGCTTGATTTGTGTAAGAAAATGAAATTTCAAAACCACTACTCACCTCCAGGTCACCCAGAAAACCTGTCAGATCAAGTCCACGCTTCCCTGCATCCCAATATTTGTATGGACGGATGTCCTCAAATCCAGCGTTAGAGAAAACGGCATTGTGGTTCTCTACAACGGAAGACCACAAACTGAACTGAACATGGAAAGCTGGTTAAACATTTTTGCCATTTGAGACAACAATAAAGTTAATCATTGAACCCAAGGCCAGCGTGCAATTAGTTATTGCGAAAATTGTACATATATTTTGTACAATATTGTTGCCAATTGAAAGTCAGAATGACATTTATCACAGTATTTTGCATGTGTGGTTAGGTCTCCTGCTCACCCCATGTGGGTGCAGACACATAAATGGGAGTTTTTGTGTTGTCAGTTCCATTGTACCAGCGGCGAAGAAACTCCGCTCCGATCTTTAGAGCGCCAGTACCACCCAAACACTGCACAGCTCCTACCTGCAATACAAACACAACAGGAAGCTCTACATTAGAATGATGCTAGTGCAAACTAGTGCCAAACAAAGGTTGGTGAATAAATATATCTTTAGTTTGTTTTGTTTTTTTCCACATACAGCAGTGGTCAAATGTCCTAATAATGCTGAAAAATGGCTCCTGACAGTTATTAATACAGGTATATATATATATATATATATATAATACAACAGCATCTCATCTGACCCGGTTGTCCTTGATGGCAGGACTGTCTTCACCCAGAGCGATCTTAGACGCACTGGAACGAAACTCTGGCAGGCCTAAAATGGGCAGGTACTCGTGGTTTAAACTATGGTCATCAGCGATCATCTTCTCCACTTTTCTCACCACAGGGAGAACCCAGGGCTGACAATCATCTGTCCTGTAGGCTAAAGAAGAAGCAAAGGATTTCAACCAGACCACTTCCAATCACACAGGCAAACTTATGATTTGTACACAACCGTTCAAAGTTTGTTAAAGAATCTTGAAAACAAAAATATTTCAACATTTATAATAATAATAGAACATATTTCTTGAGCTGCTAATCAGAACAATTTCTGGAGGATAATGTGACAATGAAGACTGAGGTTATGATAGTAAAATTAATAAATGTATTTACATTTTAAACTATATTAAAATAGAATGGGTATTTCAAACTGTAATATTATTGCATAATATTAGTTTTCACTTTTTTATGCAACCTTAAATAAAAACTAAATGCAAAACAAAAAAAAAGTTATTGAATTATTGAACTATAGTGTACATTACAGCACCCTAAGTTTCACTGAATTGCTTTCTAATCAATTGTTTTTGTAATGCATAATCATTCCTTTTTTATCAGGGGTGCTTGATCAGGATGAACTTTTACCCAAGTGCAAAATGAGCTTATTCAACATAAACATGTGCTGCTCATGTCCTGATGCAATTCTTGATTTACAAATCCTACACACATATAGAACAAAACTTATCCAACTAAATTAGGTTCTGCACATAAACTGGTGAAGTTTTAGAATGTGAAGCAGTGCATTAATTTTACTTAAAGAAATTTGTTTAATGTATCACATATTACTGTACATATCAAGGTTTAGTAGATGGCTTTAAAATAAAAAAAAGATGATAAATACTGCATTTTTTGTCACCGCCTGCCACACACTTTAAATCAGTGTTCTAGGTTGCTCAAAAGGATAATCATTTCCGTCTGAGGAAGGACTAGGATAGGGGGAAGCTGTTAAAAAACAGTCCACACAATCATGACTCAGGGATTTTTAAAGAGGTGACTTTTCATCCTTTGCTCGTCTTTAATCTGTCCCAGAACCTCAGGAGTAGTGGTGTCGGCAAGGCGTCAGGAAAAGCAGAAGATAAAGATAATCCTCTGAGGTCAAGCTCTCAAACCGGGATCAGGAATGACTACACAGCAGATGACACATGACGACTGCTTCTACACAATAATACTGTCGACATAAGACAATCTATTCACTCCCAGCTAACAGCACTTAACAGGCCATGTGACTGATCTCCAATGAAAGTGACCAATGCCGGAAGAGTAACTTTATCCCTTAATATATTTAGAAATCCTAGATGCCTCTGGACCTGCCTGCAATGATTTTGGTTTAATGTTAGATCACTGTACATGTCATGATATGCCTTTAGTTGTATGCGCCAAAAATTTAATAACAATTAAATTTTTCCATGTTTTAGAATAATGAAATACATTTCATTTTACATTTATACTATTCTAAAAAAATAAAAATAAATAAATAAATAAAAAAACAGTTCAAGAAGTTAAGCTTTAACAACAAGATTGTGAGAAACAAAAATTAAGTGTATACAAATGTTGACATGTGGCATGTATATAATATCAAAAAAAAAAAAAAATATGCATAATTAGCAAATATAATTCATATCAGATCTATGTGCATAACATGCCTACAGTATAAGTATAACATGATATGCTTGCAGTTAAACATAATTTTAAAAGCAATAGTTCACCCAAAAATTCATTCATTCCATTGACAGATATGCAACTACAACTTTGACGGTTCAAAACATTTATTAGGACATACACAGCAAAACGAATCTATATGAATCGAGCGGTTTAGTCCAAATTTCCTGAAGAGACTCGATCGCTTTATGATGAACAGATTTAATTTAGGATTTTATTCACATAAACATTGTTAAGTGAACATAAACAGAAGCTCAATTGAACTTGCTTGATGCGCAAGAACAAACCTCTTGCTGAAGCTCAAACCATCTGTAACAAACAAGAATGAACCTCATTGGTTCTTGCGGAAGTTCAAAAGTGATGCGTACCACAAGAATGAACCTCATTTGTTCTTGCGGAAGTTCAAAAGTGATGCGTACCACAAGAATGAACCTCATTGGTTCTTGCGGAAGCTCAAAAGTGATGCGTACCACAAGAATGAACCTCATTGGTTCTTGCAGAAGCTCAAAAGTGATGCGTACCACAAGAATGAACCTCATTGGTTCTTGCGGAAGCTCAAAAGTGATGCGTACCACATGAATGAACCTCGTTGGTTCTTGCGGAAGCTCAAAAGTGATGCGTACCACAAGAATGAACCTCATTGGTTCTTGTGGAAGCTCAAAAGTGATGCGTACCACAAGAATGAACCTCATTGGTTCTTGCGGAAGCTCAAAAGTGATGCGTATTGCGTACCACAAGCATGAACCTCATTGGTTCTCGCCATAGGTTCTCGCACATCAAGCGAACATGCTTGAGCTTCCTTACAACTGATGTGTAAGTTGATGAATGTTTAAATGTGAATAAAAGCCATATAAAGCGATGTGTCTCTTGAGACAATTTTGGACAAAACCGCACAATACATATTTTGGACTGAAACGAAAGTCTTACAGTTTTTGAACGAAATGAGGGTGAGTATAATGACAGAATTTAAATTTTTGGGTGAACTGACCCTTTTAGTGTCATATCGTCCATGAAAAATCTCAGATTACTGATGCCCCCAGAAAACAGCTGATCTGTGATCACGTGCTGCGTCTACCAACATCATAATCATTTAAAAGAACAAAATACAATGATAATAAAAAATAAAAAAGCAGGCATTAACTTATTTAATCTTAAATTCTGAAAGAGACAGATGTACATGCACAGATGTGTTCAGGTCTTATTTTTTTTAGGCCAATTGCTGTCACAGAAATGCAAAAATATACGCACATTGACATTCATCTCATGTAACAGTGTGTGTTTATTAAAAAGCGCATCTCTCACCTCCGACTCCCAGATTCACCTTGTTGGGGTTCTGATCTTCACGGAAATCTGCTGACAGTTTAAACACTGCGACAGGAGCAGCAAGCGGTACTTCACCAAATATCGACATGATATTGTGTTAATATTTCTGTAAATACAGAGCGAGAGGGGGGGGAGAGTAATAGGCAAGTACCGCAGGATTGAAGTGCGGTGTGATGGAGAATGACTGACTTTAACCTTCAGACGAGGGATTTGGGCAATGGAGGCCAGGCGTGTCTAAACTAACCAATAAAATCAGTAGCTCATGTTTGACTCAAAGATTACCCAATCAACTTCTAGTACAGGAAGGTCAAGTCGGTACGTCATCAAAAAACGCGCACGATAACACTGCGGGGACCAATGAGAACTCAAACATGCAAGAGTGACGTACCTTCTGACCAATAGTAAAGCAGAGAGGGCGGAACACGTTAGATTCAATGGGCATCGTCCTTTTCAGGCACACCTACACTGTTAGCCTATCGGAGTTCCATTTACAGTTATCTTCATCATAGTTTAAATTGTGTAATTTATGACTTCATGATTTTATCTGATTATATATATATATATATATATATATATATATGTATAGTTCACTGATGATAGTTTTAGCCTTAGGCTAGTCTTCCAACTTAGAGATCAATCAAAAAACACTAGGCTATTGAATTTGATATTGCTATCAAATTACAACATGATCATTTTTATATTAAAGGGTTCACCCAAAAATGAAAATTCTGTCATTATTCTTGATGTATGGCCTTATAGCACCATTTGGATTAAATTAGCTGTTTTCCCTGGGACCTAATGTGGATAGCACGAGTCTATTTGATGTAATGTTGACATCTGGAAGACGTATTTTTAAGAATGTTTGCTCATCTGCAATATGTCTATAGGACTTTTCCTGTCAGATGTCAAATAGACGTTTATATTTCTAACTCCAAACAATTAGCCACTGAACCAGCTTATAAAATCTTCTTCAAGGCTGTTGCATTTGAGGTAACGTTACAGGTCATGGGGTTTCTCAGATTTCGCTTGAGCCTCGATAGAAGTCGTGTCTCCTTTATTGCGTATTTTTATACTTTGAATATATCCCTCCACTGCATACTGTAACCCCTTTTGCCTTGATCTGGAGGATATCGCTGAGGTATTGCTCCAAAAAAAGATCACTGACACGCACGTATATCTCTTCCCGTCTTGGCAATCTGTTGTGCTGGTTTTGTTTGACCATTTGTTTGACGGGCGTAGTAACAATAGGGGGCGTGGCTTTTGCAAATGGTCAATTCCTGGAAGTTGAAAACATCCCCACCCCTGACCTCCCCAACCCTCCCCTGGACCCCCCAATATAGTAAAACTGCACATTTTAGAGTGGCCTTTTATTGTGGCCAGCATAAGGCACACCTGTGCAATAATCACTGTCTAATCAGCATCTTGATATGCCACACCTGTGCTACACCTGTGAGGATGGATTATCTTGAAGGAGAAGTGCTCACTAACACCGATTTAGACAGATTTGTGAACAATATTTGAGAGAAATAGGCCTTTTGTGTACATAGAAAAAGTCTTAGATCTTTGAGTTCAGCTCATGAAAAATGGGGGCAAAAACAAAAGTGTTGCGTTTATAATTTTGTTCAGTGTGTGTGTGTGTGTTTATATATATATATATATATGAAGAGTTCAGATGCAAAAGCCTCTAAGTGCCATTTGAAATTTTCGTCTTTAATGATGATTTTTATCAAACTTGTATATTTAAGTTCAGTAATTTAACTTAAATGGCAATGATAATTACCTATTAATTGTTATTTAAGTGAAATTACTGAACTTAAATATACAAGTTTGATAAAAATCATCATTAAAGTAGAAAATTTCAAATGGCATTTAGAGGCTTTTGCATCTGAACTCTTCATATATATATATATATATATACTGTATATACATACACATAATATACATTCACCTAAAGGATTATTAGGAACACCATACTAATACTGTGTTTGACCCCCTTTTGCCTTCAGAACTGCTTTAATTCTACGTGGCATCGATTCAACAAGGTGCTGAAAGCATTCTTTAAGAATGTTGGCCCATATTGATAGGATAGCATCTCGCAATTGATGGAGATTTATGGGATGCACATCCAGGGCCCGAAGCTCCCATTCCACCACATCCTAAAGATGCTCTATTGGGTTGAGATTTGGTGACTGTGGGGGCCATCTTAGCCATCAGAGGATGGGTATGTGGTGGCCATAAAGGGATGGACATAGTCAGAAACAATGCTCAGGTAGGCCGTGCACATAAAAAAAAAACCAATTGGCATTAAGGGGCCTAACGTGTGCAAACAATACATCCCCCACACAATTACACCACCACCACCAGCCTGCACAGTGGTAACAAGGCATGATGGATCCATGTTCTCATTCTGTTTACTCCAAATTCTGACTCTAACATCTAAATGTCTCAACAGAAATCAAGACCCATCAGACCAGGCAACATTTTCCAGTCTTCAACTGTCCAATTTTGGTGAGCTCTTGCAAATTGTAGCCTCTTTTTCCTATTTGTAGTGGAGATGAGTGGTCTCACGCTGCCTCAGAAGAGTACACACGATGGATCAAGCTTCTCTATGCCAACACCACCAGCGTCGTCCAATGCCCAGCAGGTCTGTCCGAAACATTTCTGACTACTGTGGGCATGCATCAGGGATCTGCCCTCTCCCCGCTTCTTTTTATCCTTTGTTATACAGTTTCGAGTGTTGGCCAGACACCATGAAACATGGTCAACCACACCCCTAAATATATATATATATATATATATATATATATGCCCCCCCCCCCCCCGCCAGATAACACACACATTTTTGTTTTGCAATACTGAACAAATGTATTTCTACTGAATTACAAATTTACATTGACTTTACACAAACGCAAAAACTAAACCTTAAACTTTCCAAACTTATGCAGATTTCTTATTTTATTTTCTCTGTATATTATGTTTTTATTCTATACATGTTTTTTTATTTATTGTTTTGTACTTGTAAAGTTAGATGTTTTAGAGGAAAAGAAAATGTCATGTCTTTCAGAGACCACAAGGTGGTGGTCTAAGCTTTTGCTCTTGCTCCCTAGTAAACACATGAGCTGTTGGTCTCTAATGGAATCATAATTCAAAGCCAAAAAGGGAAAAGGGAAACATGAGCTGCTCTGCCTTGGTATTTATATCATGAAGAAGGTCATTTAAGTATGTTCACACAACACAGTGTATTGTCCATTTTCTTACAACTTTTTTAATTTGTATTTCCTTAATTGCTCATCGTAATAATACTAAATTTAGCTAAAAAAATTAGGGTTAAAGGAGTTTAAAATAGAGTTACAAATATTAAAGGAGATTTATCTTTTTGTTTTTGATTATGTAAAATAGAATTCATTTTTTAGATGTTGGAAAGCCATGCAGGCAGTATAAGTATTTTAAGTATATCTAAAAAATCTACATTTTTTGTCAGCTTAAGAGATTGTACTTGTATTTTCCTGACCTGCTATAGCAAAAGACATGAACCTGAAAAAGATATGAAACTGCAATCTCCCTCAGAGAGTGGCAGCACCATCAGATAGGGTAGGCTATAATTCATCAACCTCAAATCATCTGCACAAGCAAACCAAGACTGTTCCATGTGAGAAATGTGCAAATTATTTAAATACCTTCAAGAATCACAGGATTTCTATTAATCATCATTGTATTAACCCCCAGCCCCCCAATACTAAACTCTATAAAAATAAAGCTTCTAATTTTTACAATACCAGAAGAAACATTTGTTGTTCCCCAAAGGACTTCAGTGACCAGAAAGACGATCGAGTCTTGGGGTTTTTCTCTTCTTGGCGTAGCCTAAAAATAACACTTTCATTTTCCACTATCACTCTTAAAAATAAAGGTTATTCATTGGCATGTTGTTCCATCAAAAATATATGGATATAAATAGTATGGATACTATTCGAAAAAAAAAAAAAAAACAAGTCATATGACCTACTTCCGGCGAGAGTGTGTGCATCCGTGTTTTTCGAATACTATCGCTGCGTCCAAAATTCCGACTCTAAAATTAGCCTACGCAAAAAACTAGGCCTAGCCTATGTGTTGAAAAGTAAAAAAATATATATATAAAAACACTGAAAACAATCGCCAAAAGTTAACAATGTACCTAACCAATAGTAAACAATGTGACAAAAGTTGTTTCCAAGTACTCATAAAAGAGTAGGCAAAAAGTACCCGGATGACCCACTACTTTCACCGAGATTCTGAAGTGTTTATTCGATGGACATTTTACTTTCCCAGGAGGCCACGCAGACACTTGTAGTTCACATGATGATAATCACAACATGCCGATGTGAATGTAGCCTGGGTCCAGATTACATCCTACTAGGCTACATGTATTTATAGAACATAATAGCTGTTGTGAATAAATTACTTATATTCAAAATAAGTAGGCCTACCTACTGAGTATGCGATTTCGGACGCAGCCATAGAACAGTTGGCAAAAAGTTGATGATCTTCTACTTCTACTGATAATGACAACATGGCGGAGTACGTATTGCATTCATACACACATAGAACATACCTTTTAACGGTCATGAATAAGTTCAAATTCAAATGTACCTACTCAGACAATACGTGATTTCGGACACACCGCATGAATTCAGACATGCTATTCTTCTAAGTATTTTCGAGAGACTTCTGCATAATATGCAAAATGCTCATGGCAAATAAACATAAGATAATGATTTAGGATAAGATCTCAGTTTTCTTTTGGGCAAACCAAGCTGTCATGGATCTATAAGCCCCCACAACCCCTAGGAGATATGGAGGAGTAACTTCTACACCTGCAGAATGCCCTCCATCCATCTCACTGTCTCTCTCAACCCCATGCAGAAGATGTTTGCATTCTTTGCTGGTCAGTAAGCGTATCTTACCTGTGTGTTAACTGTCAGCTTTGTAATTATGGGATTTAAAGCTTCCAGCACAAGGTTTGTTGGCCTGGGGACGGACCGAGAAAGAGAGAGAGAGGCTAAGAGCACAGAAGCAATGACACAAATGCCTTCCGGGGAATCGTTTGCAGCTTCAGTCATTATACCATATCAAAGAACATGCATTAGAGACCCGACAAATATGAAAACATTACAACATTAGAAGTTTGGAATACATCAACAAACATATGAAATACTGAATTAACACATGATGACTCCAAA